GACTACCTGCTGGACTAAGCTGCCCTGTTTATAACACAAAGCCTAATTAAACGTAAATTTTCTTCAATGACAACACAGTTTCAGTTACAGGTAAAGTACATAAGGCTGACATAAGTTTGTCTCCTTTCAGCTACTCTGATCAAAAATGACGACATTACATGGAGTCTCCCCTGTGGATATGTAAACTCCTATTCCTAAGCTATAAGAACGCTTTTATTTCTGATGTGATGTTATAGACTTGTATTCATCAAAGTAATACATCTTTTTCGCTAATGGAAAGCCACATTTGTTACTGATGACTTTGAATCTACACCCTATAAAAAGCCTTGCTTGACTTTGAAAGGAAAAGTTTTAATACGGCCAGATCTGTCTACTTTAGGTTAATTTCATTAAATTACTTCACCAAGTTTGAAGTAAAATTGAATGTTTAAGCCAAAATGACATAAAAATCAGATTTAGCGTGACATGTTTTAGGAGAAGATTGAACAAACAAACACTGTAACGATGCAGAGGAGCCCTAACCTCGGTTCCATTAACCTGTCATCATTGGCGCTCGAGGTTGGCAAGTCTTCTTTAAGAAGTCGATTGTATTTTAGGTGCTGAGTTTATTCTTTTCAAACTGAGCCTTGGAGAGCCTTCAATCTCCTTGTTGGCTACCTCAGCGCTCTTTTAGAAAGGCTTGAAAACAGGTCTCTGCAGTGAGTGGTGGGCGTTGCTGCCCTTCAGGCAACATGCAGCTAGATAAACCCTCTGCAGAACCAACAGAAATCTGAACACTATAATCTGATGTTTTGGCACCAAAAGGCTGAAGTCAGAAGATGTTCTCTGACTTATCCAGGGGTTTTCATTCCAGAATGGAGGTGCATGCCAGTAGCATGGTTATTGTGCTTAAACGGAGAAAAAGATTGCATTTAAGCCTCCAATTTTCTGTGAACATTTTCTAGTTGTCGCTTCAGTGTTGCATCTGTAATTTATCTGGGTGCATTTGAATGAAAGAAGTGAGGTGTGATTGTCACAGGTGGTTGGTGCAGGCCTGTAGCTGCTCCTCTCTGCTCTGTGTGAAATCCTGGGATCTCAGTGTCATGTGCGAGTGAGATCTGAGGCTCCACAAGCGAGTCTTGTTGTCCTTGTGCAGCAGGAGATTTAATGAGGCATACGGCCTGGTATGTCTCGTTTATGTAGTCCTTAAGGTGTTTGCTTCTATGTTTCTTTCACATTTTACCTCCTTTGATCTGTCATTTCTTTGTCTTTTTACATTGTCAATAGTTTTTCTTTCCTTTTAACTCGAATCTGCTGTGGATCTGCAAGGTTTCTTTCTCATCATTGTTCACAATGTTCTCTTTCTTTTTCATTATTTCTATCTCCTTTTACCCCCCCCCTGCTGCAGAGAGTCTTTGATGCGAGGTTCATTTCTATTCACGCGGATCATTCATCAGCTCTGTGTCAGTCTTGAAGCAGCAAGCAGAAAACCAGATCAATAAGATTGCTGAACGGATGAATCTCTTTAAGATTTCCCTTCAGCCTGGGGAGATAAGGGAGGTTTTTTCAAAATTTATGAATGGATGACTCTTTAAAGAGTCACTCAGGTTTGCATTGGAGGGAGGCGGCGATGAACGACGATCTTGGAGTATTACAGCCAATATTAGAAAGAGGAGAGGCATTTAGATTAAGGTTTTTAATCTTTGGAGAAAAGGCTAACTCACTGGAAAGTAAAGATGTTCTTCGATTTGGAAATTTCTAATTAAATGCACAGCAGAAGTAAAAGGCAGTTCATGTACGGTATTTGAGTGAAGGAGAGAACCCAGTACATGTAAATATTGAAAATAAGAAAGAATCCCAGCCTGATGGCCTGCTTCTGCTATGTTCCAGTAATGGTGTTGATGTTGTTCAGGGATCATTTAATAAAGAATGAGGATGAATAAAGTTTGACATCATAGAGGCTGTAGTTAAGTTTTTGTTTTTTTTGTTTAAGATTTATGGAATATCAGTTTTTTTTTTTTTTAACTGATCCACTCATTTGGCCTCTGTATCTCAGAGGTCATCATTTCATTACTTTTTCTTTTTATGTCTCCATTAGGGCTGGGTATTTTAGCCAAAGTCCTGAATGGATTCGATTTTGATTCATACAGTTCTAAATCGATTAATTTCGATTCAATCTGTTTTTGCAATAATGAAAGTGGTTCAACTGTGTTTCAAAATACTCATGTATTAAATTTTTTCCTGTCATGTTAAAGACAAAGTGCAAACTGGTAAATCAGACAGTTTAAACTTGACACAGCGGGGACACAGCAGACATGCATGAGCTGCATTATCTCCGCTGCACAAACCATATTTGCAGCGTTGTCTGTAACAACTACAGGGTGTTTGCTGGTCAGCCTCCATGTGTTAATGTCTTCAGTCAACCTATGGCTATATTTGCAGCTGTCTGTCTTGAAGTCATCTTGAGTGCATCTTTCCTGCTCATTTGAATGTGAACGTCACATGCGTCACTATAAAACTAATCAATCTCATTCCCTAGACATCGATTTTGCAAAAATGTTAAGGAATCGATTCAAAATTAATTAAATCAATTTTTTTTTATCAGTTTGCTATATTTTCATTATTTGTTGTTAACATGATCATTTTACAAGCAGGTTTTACTGTTTTAATTTTGTTGCTATTTGCTATTAAAAAAAAATCAAATTGGATTTTGTTGGAAAATAATCTCAGATTAGATTTAAGCCATGTGGCCTGGCCCTATTTTGTAGCTCTGTAGCCATGTGGTAAATCTTAAAGGTTTATAGTTAGTCCTGGAAGGGAACAATCTGACTACTTCTGCTTGAATCATTTAACCTAGAGCACAACTTTTAAAAAATTTGATGGTCATTGATTTAATGATTGACAAAAGGTAACGCAAAACAAGTCAGTTAACAGATATCTACACCTAAACAAGTGCTCATACCCATAACTGTCAAAATACCATTTTTTAATTGTGCTGATGGAAGTCACTCCAATAGTGGTGTTGTACCTCATAAGTGCGTAATAAGCAGGTAAAAGGTGTTTATGAAATCCATTTCCACAGCCTAAGCAGTTCGCTGCTTTACAGAAAGTGTAACGGCCAAATTACAGCCATGACTGAGCCTGACCTCGCATCCATTCAGTGTTTGGAAAAAGCTTTAACATTTAATGGACTTTTTGACTCAATGTCTGTGTCATTTCATTTTTGCAGTGATTATATAGTTCCCTTCAAAGTCTTTTGTCAGGTGTTTCTGACATATGCAGAAGAGAACATTTAAATAACAACTTGGCTTTTTTTTTACATATTAAAGTGACAAATGTCAGAGTCTACCTGCAGTTTTTCTCTGTTGATTAGAAACTGCTTCTGGAAACATTTATCTGCTGAATTAGTTATGCATGGCTCATTAGGACTTCTTGACACATTAATGAATAGTAACCCATCATCTGCAGCAAGCATGTTGACTCACAGAAGCCTAAAGCTAGTTTTTATTTATTTTTAGATGATACAGAGCTAAAATGTATAATGTCAGGTTTTCCTTTAATGCTGCTAATGTGGTAAGAGTGAAGGAAACCTGCAGGGATTGGAGATAATGATGGATTTAAAGAGTTTGCTGGAATTTATCCTGTTTACAATTACAGCTCCCAGTCTTAGTATTTATGCAGTCCGATAAACACTGACATCATTATCATTTATTGTCCTAAAAGGGAAAACGCCACATGTACCTATGTGTTTGTGCTGGAAAAGGTTAATATTGCCTCTGCCAAGGACGTTATGTTTTTTTTTTTTTTTTTGGAGTTTTAGTGTTTGTTTGTCCGTTTGTGTGCAGGATAACTTGAAAAGTTATTGATGGATTTTAATCCATCAATAACTTTGGCTTAAGGCATCCCTTAAGCCAAGGAACAATCCAATACCTTTTTGTTGATGATCCATGTACCATGATGTGGTTTCAGGAATTAAAAAAAAATCTTTAACTTTGTGAGATATTTGGCAGGACATGCAGTTCCCCAGTTAACCAGAGGGTGGCTGCATTGACTGTAGACAGCCTCAGCATTGGACTCAAATAGTCCAGAGGTATTTTACTGAAAACAAACAAACAAGAAAAGGCAATGCTGGTTAGCTGAGGTGCGCCTTTATATATAGGTGTAAATCACAATTTGCTGGCTGGCGGGGGTCTTTGCTCTCTGAGTGCTTTTCTAGTTTATTTTATAGATTTGTGCAAAGACAAAGCCCTACTGTGACTTTCCTACATCTCTTTTTGTTAATTGTATCACTCCACCTGAACACTTGCTTTCTCAGCTGTTAAACACTTCCCCCCCATATAAAGTGGTGACATCCTCAGCACCTGTTTTATATACTGTACCTGTGAAGACATTTTTAGATGCGACTCCTCGGGAATTCATCTTATTTCCACACAAAGCAGGTGTAATGTTAAATAACACATAAGGTTCTTAGTTTTTCATAATAATAACCTCTTCTGAAAGAAAAAAAAATCAAGTTTATTAAAAAACGAAATAATATTCTGATGATTTATAATATTGTAGAAGTTTAAAAAACAATCCACTGGACTTGGTTTCCAAGGTTTGAAGACGTTTCGCTTCCCATCCAGGAAGCTTTCTCAATTCAGATGTCATTTGAAACGACATTTGAATCGAGAAAGCTTCCTGGAGGGGAAGCGAAACGTCTTCAAACCTTGGAAACCAAGTTCAGTGGATTGTTTTTTAATCTTTTACGGAATGACTTTCACCTGGATGACTGAGAATCTTCATCAGCAATACTGTAGAAGTTTGACTGGTTATGATTTTTCTATGTAAGGAAGAAGTCAGCTGATAAACTGGTTAGTTGCAATGCTAAGCTCAGCTGGTAGTTTTACGAATACTTTGCACATGTTGCAGAATAATGTGTATTATTATAATATAATGCAGTAAAATAACTCCTCAGATGGACGGACGCTCCTCAGTTTTCTCCGTCTGCTTGTTTGATGCTCATGTCTTTGTTCCCACAGCTGCTTCCTGTCCCTGCTGCTGGTGGCCGCTGTGGTGTGGAAAATCAAACAGAGCTGCTGGGCGTCACGACGACGGGAAGTAAGTCTAAATCTTGTTTTAATACAAGCATCATTGACTAGGCGCTTATTGATAATGATTTTGAATGATTGAAAGCCTTCTGTCTGCTATAGTAGACATCATGGTGAGATGTCACCTGGAAATTTGATTGAAGTTATTTGGTTTCTTTCAGACTTTTTGTAAAAACAAAACAAAAAAAAACACAAACCAAACAAAATGGTTTTTGTCAGGTTAGTTTAAAATATTTTATTAATATTTCTTTTAAGTGATTTAGAATAAGTGTGATGCTGTTTTAGCTTCAAAGCAGATGTGATGGGACCCCCACTATGAGCCATGCTGTGGTGTCCTCTAACATAACTGTTTCTTGAAGACCATCTTGTGTCTTCCTTCTTGTTGAATCATGAGCACTAGCCTTAGCTGAAGTCATTGTATGAGTCCCAAAAGGGTTTTTGGAGGAATGTAGGCTGACAACTCCTAGGAATGTTCACAACTGTCATGTTTTCTCCATTTGTGGATTTTGGATCTCACTTTGGTTTACTGGAGACCTTAAGCTAAATAATAGCTTTCAAAACCCATCAAAGGCTGAAGAATCTGAATCACCTAAGATCTACTGTATCACTTCATCTCCATTCAAATTGAGCTACAGAACTACGGTTACCTGCTTGTATTATATCTGTGAAGCGAAACAGCAGCTGATAGCTGTTTACACAGATTTAATCTAATATAGGATAAAAATACTATCCTAAACTAGGATAGGAGTAGATTTTTCTATTATTTAGAGTGAATGGAGCTCAGGATGCAGACACGCTCAAAGATGCTGAGGAACTTATTTAATATTCTGGTGTTCTTTGTCACCTCCTTTCTAAAAAGTTTAAACACGTATTGTTCACCTGAGTGGAAATGTGTGAAACTCTGAAAGAACATTTAAAAAAGGAAATCATTTTTCTTTCTTCAGAAAGAAATAGAAATTATGATTAATGCATGAAATTGCTCAAACATGGAGCTGCGAGCTTTTCATTGTCAACTTTACTCCCTGTGGCTGTTTTGTTCTTCAATCTCATCAAGTCATCCACTCCCTCAGTTAACATTTGGAACAGAAAATTTGAAAAAGCCAAACTAAAAACTCTTGTGTCACTGGCAGCTTATCAGTCCTGTGAATGACATGTTAATGGGCTGCATGAAAGATTAGTGAAGTTGGGACAGAATGTTAAAATTTAAGAGTCATAGCTTTTTTTCTTTGCAATCGAATTTCTCCAGTTTGAAAATGAGGCATTAAATCTGATGCCGATAGCTTTCTGTCTGTTTGTTAATTTCTGGATGTTCTGAACATCACTTAGACTAAGATGAGATGGTGTTTAATTAAAGCAGCCGAAATGTTTCTTTTTTTAGATGAAGAAAAATCTGTTTTGCTTTGAGGGGTAAGAAGAAATTAGTGTATTTAGATGTTTTTAAAAACTGCATTCTGTTCTTCATGCAGACACTGACACAGCAAACAGCAGACAAAGCATTTCTAATTCACATTCTTTTTAAGCCAATAAAGCGAGTTTATTTGTTTTTCGTTCAGTTTCTATTTTTTACTTGCTCTACTCTTATATTAGACATGATTCTTTAGTGGTTAAGCGTCTTTGGATTTAATGAAATTCAAAGCAGAAGAATCTTGCAGGTGTTAAAATTGATGGCACTGCAAGATCTGAGAGAAGTGATTCCAGCGGCAGCCATCCAAAGATGTGTTAATGAAATGCAGGGTTAAGTTGACCTCTAGATGTTTTGATACCCTGAGCTGACTTCCTGGAAATCAGCGATAACCTCAAGCTAAAAGTCAGCTTTTCATCCTGATGAAAGTTTGGTCATTCTCAGTTGTCGGCCATGCTAGTGCTGCAGTGCCCTTAGCAAAATGACTTGCCCACTATCTTTACAGGGAAAAAGCAGTGATAGAGGGGCTAAAGGCAAAAAAAAAACATTGGTATATGAAACATCTTGTATTTGCCTAAAAATACTTGTCAGACAATGAAGTGAAAAAATAAAGTTTTATTCTGTAGACATCAGTAGAACTCTTCTGGCTCAGAGACAATGTCTATAAAGTTTCTACTGCACTGCAGAATTTAAGCCTCAGTGGATTTATTATTTAAAGCGATTTAAAATCACTTTGATCGATTTGATCTCTGGACAGAAGGAACAATGGCTGCTCTGTTGGTTCACAGCACAATGTTGCAGTTTAACAGCTGTGCTTTGTTCAAGAAGGATTGCTAGCTTGCTTTTTTGCCTCTTATATTCTTTCATAAAACTTTTTACACTCCGTTATATTAAAACCATTCTTCAATATGTGTTATTGGAAAAAAAATTTTTTATATATATATATATATATATATATATATATATATATATATATATATATATATATATATTTTATTTTATTTATTTATTTATTTTTTGTGTATTTCTGTATAAAAAACAAACCCTGGGCACAAACTTGCATTCAGGATTTGTTTCAGATATGAGTGATTCTAAGTCATCTTTTTTTTCTTTTTTTTTATCACTTAATTTTTATTTAGATTTTTGCAACTTACACAGACATATACATACAAGCCTACATTCAGGCTGCCACTCTATATGGTAAAGTAAAAAAAAAGAACTAAACTTTGAAAGTATATACAACAAGTTAGGCTTAAAAGTAAAGTAGGTCACATGGTTAAACATAAGTAACTTACAAATCTAAGTCACCTTTTGTTGAATTTACAGTAGTAGTTATTCAAAATGTCCCCTCTTTCCCTGATGGGTCCTTGGCCGGTCCCCTACAAATTCTTTTGAAACATCAATCTTTGTACTAAAACATTCTTTCTGTCATATGTGGACATTAATATCTAAAGAGAAGCGCCATCTCCTGGTCAGACTCTGTAACCAAGTGAAAGGGTGGAGTCAGAGTAAAAAAGAAATATGCGCAACCGTAAGTTGGAAGCTGGAGGGGATTCTGCTGGGAGTTGCAGGGAAGTGGGCTGCCAATCGGCTGGTGTTTGACTGGGAAGGGCCCTTTTGAATGGCTGCTACTGTACATTTGGTAGCTTTGCACATTTTCTTTATATTGTAAAGTACACCACAATAAATCTTAAGGGTCTAATGTTCCATGCTGCTCCTCCACAGTTACAATTGGCTTCTTAGCTACTTTAAGTTAGTCTATCATTTACATTGTTAACTATTTTAAAGGCTCTCTTTGAAGCGCCACAGCTTAGATCCTGGATTATTGTAAGTTTTATGTTTTACCACCATATGTTATAAATGTTGGCATTATTGGTCATTCCCAAGATGTAAAACTTTAAAGTACAGGGTATGTCGCACTAACATACTGATGGACTTTACTTTCCAATTTGCATTGATAAAGTGGACTGCGGGTGTAATATAGCTCTGTTTTAGGGCAATCGTTTTGACTTTCTGTTCATGCATGTCTCCGATTTCATTATTTCTTTTACAGCTTTCGATGAATAACATTCTTCTGAGATGGAAGGTAACATTGCAGCACTAAGGAAAGGTCTGGTTTATGCAATGATGCACAGATGTGGCTCACACAGGGTTTGCAGCATTTTATAACCTGTGCGGTTTTTCCCTGCTGTACCTAATATTCTGACCAACTCTAGGAGGAGAGTATAGGGCACGGATATGCCACACTTCATATAGAAGTCCATCCATCCATCCATCCATCCATTTTCTTTACACGCTTGTCCCGAGTGGGGTCACGAGGGGTGCTGGTGCCTATCTCCAGCAGTCAATGGGCAAGAGGCAGGGTACACCCTGGACAGGTCGCCAGTCTATCGCAGTCTATCGCAATATAGAAGTAGAAAACAGTTATCTCTAACATTTCTAATGCCATCTTGTATCATCCAAGACAGTAATTTTTTTTCCAAGAGTTGTCTTTTATTATGTCCAAGAGTTTTAATCTTACAAATAAATGATGAGGTTAATAAATGGCTTATGATTAATGTTAGATATTTTTTTATAGGTGACTTAGAAACACCCATACCTTCCCTCACTTGTCTGAAAATGATGAAGAAATGAAAACAGCTTTTGACTCGACAAGCTAATAGTTACGCATTCTTTCTCTAATGCTCTTTATTGTATCTAGAAAAAAAAACTTTCAAAAAGCTCTTATCTGAATAGTTTAGATGGAACAAATGTGCTTTTGCTTTTCTGTCAGCCAGCCTGACAAACTCTGTTGGCTAAACTTATTCAACGTGATATAAAAACCTTGAAATGTCAGATTATTTACATGGTGAAGAATCCCTGAATAGATGACAGCATGAACGCTCATAGCACATTCTCATTAGCGCCATTCTTGCCTTTTGAAGTACTGGCCTAAAGGTAGACAGAGTGTGGGTTTGTGTAGGGACTGCAGTGCAGGGTTGAGTAGTGTGTGTGGCGTGACACTATGTGCAGGTACATAAGCCATGCTGGCTAAAGTGCCCTTCATCTGTCACCGCGCCCCAAAGTGCTGTCATCACCCTCACCTTTGGAGGTCTGCTAACATCCACCTCGCACCCACTCCACCTTCACTCCATCTCAAACCTGCTGTCGTCCAGCTGGGCCCTCTGCAGCATAACCTTTACTCAAAATTGTCAATAGAACTTTAAGAGGATTGGCTTTTACAGGCGAAATGGTTCAAATAAACACTCCACCATCCTCCAGCTCTCCTAACATATGGTCCAATTTTATTGGAGTTCATTCTGCTGCCTATTAGGAAACTGTGTTCTGCACTTACACTTTTCCTTTGCAAAATCATGATTCACCTACTGAATAAAAAACACAAGGAAGTCTCCATTGTTATTTTAATATTGTGTAAAATAAGCTTTTATTGGGGCACATTATTTTTTCAGGTTTGATATAATCACCATTCTCTACTGGACCCTCAGGAATATTAATTTGCCAGTAAACATGATTGCTCTAAACCTGCCAAACTGAATCTAAGCAGAATGATTTAAGGGTGAAGAGCCCATGACGTCACTGCAGATAGAGATAATTTTCTTCACAAGAGT